TATTCCACACTTGTATAATTTTAACAAAATGGATTATACTGTCATGTATAACTAAGAATAACTAATAAAAGGCATTTAAAAATTAAAAATAAAGGAAACATATGTTCAAACAGAAAATACAAACATAAATGGAGAAAATACTTTAAGCATTAGTTTAGAAGGTAGGCTAGGAAAGGACATGAAAATCCTAAAAGGGAGCCAGAGAGAAAAAATCTGCTTATCATGCCCACTAATCACTATCAGGACTCTGATTATCCTGGAATCAGAGCTGGCTGATATCCTTCAGTCCAGCCAAGGCACTCTCATGAATATTCATACCACTTCCATTCCAGGTAGTGTTATATGCAAAGCATACAAGGATTGGGGCACTAACTTAGCCTAGCTCCTCTAATTTGGAGATAATGGAACTGGAATGGACAGATTCACAATGTATGCTACATGAAACCCATTGACAGGAAATTCATAGGGAAAAAAAAAGCTTCTTCTCCTGCCATAGTCTGTGTGGTTCAGACTAAAATTGAGTCCTTGTTGATCTGAAATGATTACCTCATGGTGTTAAAGTTCATCTCTGAAATAATCTCCAAAGTTCATATTGGTGACTTCCATTTTAATTCAAACTCTTGGAACACAATCAGAAACTCACATGAACTCAGTTCAAATTTTCTTTGCATATATTAATATTGCAAAGACATTGGATGTTTGGTTTAAAGGCCCAGATTATCACCTGGGCAGTGGCTTATTGTCTGATTACACTCAGTGGGACTGATCAGGCAGGTGAAGGTATTTTTTAGAGTACAACATGTCCTGTGAAGTATCTACTGCAATAGATCTGCAGCCAATTTAGTGGAAACTTGGTGAGTAATGTAGGTGGTTTTCATCACTGCAATCCAACCCCACCTCGTAAATTTTATGGAAAATAAAGATAGGTTCTTGAAAAGAAATGCATTAGTTACCAATAAAGACAAGTAGACAGGAGTCACCAAAAGTATCTCAACAACACTGGCAGGATTCCAGAATGTTTCTGTTTTTATATTGCACAAAATCTTTCAATATCATCTAATTTGTAACCACTACTATGGATTATATAGGATTTTTTTCTCTACCTTCTTCCTAAATCTTGTTTTAGGTATGTATTCTTAAATAATGTATCCTTTAGAAATTTATGTAAATGGCTATTTCTAAAGACATTTTTTGCATAATCTTTTGTTTATCCACTATTATGTTACAATAATCACTTCAATGTTTAGTTCCTGCCTTATCACTGACACATGACACTTTTATTTCTACATTTAATACCATATTTTATTATATTTCAGTGCCTGGCATTAAAGTTATTTTTGGCTAACATAAATAATTTTCATATTGATGTTCACATAAATTTGTCCTGGTAGGAATGCATATACATTCCTCATGATATATGTCATAGTTGTGTAATACAATATACCCTCTAAATTGACCGAAATCATTTGTACTTCCACCAGTAAAGTTTTAGAATTCTATGTAAAAAAAAAAAAAAAAATCTGCTTACATGAGAGTTTAAGAAAACAGTTCCTGTGAAAAGCCAGTCCCTCCCAATAGAAAATCAATATTGACTCACATTGAAGGAAAAACACACTTCAACTCATTCAACATGAACATGTAGCCTCTCCTCAAGGTACCACAGCTCTTCTGTTTTTCACTGACTTAATTGCTTTGTTTTCTCATAGGCAAAAAAAAAAAGTCAAAACATGAAAAGCCAAAACTTTCTGACAAAATTCATTCTCTGGGACTAACAGACACCTTGAAGGTTCAGGTTGTAATTTTTACACATCTCTTCCTCACCTACATACTCAGCATCAGTGGAAATATGATAATCATAATCTTCACCCTACTAGACTCTCACCCTCACCCTACTAGACACCCACCTCCACACTCCTATGTATTTATTCCCCCCAAATTTCTCGTTTTTGGAAATTTCCTTTATATCTACTTTTACCCCCCCCCCCAAGGCTGCTATTCAGCATCTCAACTGGTGTTAAGACTATCATCTCTGCTCATTGCTTCACTCAGTATTTCTTTCCCATGTTGAAGAGGGACAGTGAGATTTACCTTCTACCTGCCACATCCAAAAACCATTATGAAGCAAACCTACACAGAAAGGTTAGGTGATTTCCTCAAAGTCACACTCATAATAAGTAGGTGAGCTAAGAGCCCAATAATAACCACTGCCCCAAATGGCATAAGAATTAAATGATAAAAGCAATGAATATTGCTAAAACTCTGCCCAGCTCAGGTAAGATGCTCAAAAAGCTCGTCATGTTTCATTTTTTACTTTGTCATGTTCATTGCTTCAGTACCCACAAGAATTTACCCTCTTAGTGATGCTCAATGCCAGTTTCCTCTTGGGTCTGTTTGGAACATCTTCCCTAGCTACCTGTTCAAAGTTTATTCCCAATATTAATTTTTTTACAGTTGGCTAATTAACACTTCTGGACCTAGATCCCAGGGCAATAATTTATCCCTCCAGGTCTCTCCTGATTAAACTATATGAAATGTGCATCTCTGAATCTGATATAAAATTGCAATGAAGTTCATTACCAACCTTCAGACAAAATGTAGAAAATGAAGGGTTATGGGGATAGGAAGAATAATAGAATGAAACAGGCTTTATTACCTTATGTACATATATGACTGCATGATCAAAGTGATTCTGCAACATGTACAATCAGTAAAATGAGAAATTATACCCCATTTATGTATATCAAAGTGCATAAATGCATTTACTGTCACGTATAACTAATTAAAACAAATTTAAAAGTCTTTTTTTAAAAGAGAGAAAAAATGAGACTATAAAGAATAGGAAGTTCCTTGATCTTTGATGATTTTAATAAGCCAGTCTCAAGGAATTATAGGAAGAGTTCCAATTTGAAACAATGGAAAAAGGGTAGCAGCAAACATTTGATTAATTGCAGGAAGAACTAGAATGACTTCTTGTCTAATTAGGACCCAATAATCCTGCCTAAATGCTTTGTGAGCAAACAGGGCATCCATTAGGATTAGGAACAAAACATGTAATTTTTATTTCAACTTTTCATGCACATCTGACTTCTCAGGCCTGATGCTTGCTACTCAGCCTTCAGAGATACAATCTTTCATCGTCTTTCCTGTGTCAAAAAGTGAGTATGTACACAGGTCATCAATGTTGTCCTTCCATGGTAATGAATTATAAGATCCATATGAATTGAAATTCTACTAATCTTTTAATTTTTTTGTTATAAAAATCTCATTTGGGCTTGTTTTTGAATTTTTTAATACTTTTGTTTTTATTTTTATTTTTTTTTTAGTTGTTGATGGACACAATATCATTACTTTATTTATTCATTTTTTTATGTGGCACTGAGAATCAAACCCAGTGCCTTACACATGCTAGGCAAATGCTCTACCACTGAGTCACAACCCCAGCCCTTGTTTTTAAATTTTTAAATCATCAAGTAAGGCTGAAGTTCAAAGGGAAATTTTCCATTCTTTTTGTACAGTGTGATTCCAAAATAACTATTCCTGACCATTTTGTATTCTTCCAGACGTTGGACTGTATAAAATCCAGATAAAATCACACTATGTGTAATGGGATGCAACATCTTTCTCTATCCATATGTTATAATCACCATATGCAAGGTACTACATAGACACTTCCTATTTTATTCCACAAAATAAATGATCATAATTTATTTGGCCATTTATTCGTTAGTAAAATTTTTATTGCTTGTAAGATTTGACTATTAAAAACAATGATGCAGTGAATATCTCCAAACAATTATCTATGTGGACTAGTTCTAGACTTCTATACAATATGAATGTGAATGTTTGAATTATAAAGCAGAAAAATCCACCAGGCCAGTGAACAGATATTCTGCAGAAGCACAAGTCTCCCAGTCATTGGGTGGCATGGCCTTGGACCTTCAATCCCAATGGTTATGATGGAACAAAGGCATGGATGGACCTCCATTGTGAATTTTTGTTCCAGAAAAGCACTCAGTTCACATGGCACCCTGAGGGTCCATAATTTCCTTGAAGATTACAACACAAGATAAATGTCCCAAAGGACCCTTGATTATAGTAGGTTCTTCTGTGGGAGAAACCCTGAATAGTCTATAAGGCAAAATCCTCCCTAATATCCTGTTACAGAATTATAACTTTGTCCTGCACCCTGAAAAGCAAAAAAGGAATCCTAGTTCAGATAAACACTTTTTCCTATATGTTGGTATTCTTCAATGTATTTCAATTGCCTGGGCTAGACTTGAACTAGCAATAGTTGTGCCTCAATCCCTGAGTCTCTGGGATTATACACATGCACCAATGTACCAATAGGTTTAAGGCAGCTTAAAAAACAACACTTCTTAGAATTATTGACTAGCTGCTATAATTATTCCATTAGATTTTTAAAATGGAGAGATTCATACAAATTTCAATATTTTGAAGCTTTCTTGGGCTCTATCTACTCCCTGGCATGAAATCTAGCACCTATGAAAAGAGTGGTTTACTCTGGCATTAACATATTGGGAATTGTTATCAGAACAAAAGGATTGAACAGGCATCCAATATGTTGGAGAGGGCTGTGGTAAAGCAAATCACCAAAGCATTAAGGCTGGGAAAGGATGACACATTCCTACAAAAATAATAGGAGAATTGTTCAATGCATCTGATAGCATATCAAAGCCAAGTGAGAAGTAGGGGTAAAAATTAAAATCAGATGAAACATTCAGGAGACCAAGGTGGATATTATTCTACACTGACAAGAGGAGCCCAAACACAAAGACTTCCAGGTGGGAATTGAAAAATAGATTTTGTGAAGGGCCAAAATAAGACCAAAAGACATTTTCTTTGGGTCAGATTAGACAGAGGAATTCCCTGTGAACAAGTTTCCAAGGAAATCTAAACCTCTGCCCAATATTCCTGAGCTCTGCTCCTCTTCTCAACACCCCTTTTTCTCTTTCTCAGCTTACCGGCACTAGAAGTTAGCAATGAAAAACCACTCTTTGACTGAATTCATCCTTCTGGGCCTATCAGATGTCCCAGAGCTTCAGATTATCATTTTCATATTTCTCCTCCTCACATACATGTTCAGCATCATTGGGAATCTGACAATCATCATCCTCACCCTGCTGGACTCCCACCTCCAGACTCCCATGTATTTCTTCCTCCGAAATTTCTCCTTCCTGGAAATTTCCTTTACATCCACTTTCACTCCTAGGCTGCTGTTCAGCATCTCAACTGGGATCAAGACTATCAGCTTTGCTGGCTGCTTCACTCAGTATTTCTTTGCCATTCTCTTTGGGGCCAGTGAATTTTACCTTCTGACTGCCATGTCCTATGACCGCTATGTGGCCATCTGCAAACCACTGCATTATACCACCATCATGAATAGCAAGGTCTGCATCCAACTAGTACTCTGCTCTTGGCTGTGTGGCTTCCTGACCATCTTCTTCCTAATCATCTTGACCAGTCAGTTAGATTTCTGTGGGTCCAATGTGCTGAATCATTATTATTGTGACTATGGACCCCTCGTAGAAATATCTTGCTCAGATACAAGTCTACTGGAACTGTTTGAATTTATCTTAGCACTTCTGACACTGGTAGTCACACTGGTGCTGGTGATCCTCTCCTACACAAATATCATCAGGACCATTCTGAAGATTCCCTCAGCTCAACAAAGGAAAAAGGCCTTTTCCACATGTTCTTCCCACATGATTGTCATCTCCCTCTCTTATGGAAGCTGCATCTTCATGTACATAAAGCCTTCAGCAAAAGAAGGAGTTGCCTTCAATAAAGGAATAGCTGTGCTCAATAACTCAGTTGCCCCTTTACTGAATCCAATCATTTATACTCTGAGGAATAAACAGGTAAAACAAGCCTTCGAGGATATGGCCAGAAAATTGTGCATTCTTATTCATTTGAATAAAGGAGAAAAATAATAATGTTAAATTGGGTACTCAAAAAAAACTGAATGAAAACTATTTTTCCCATTATAAATCTGACAATCAGCTGAATGATTCTATCTTCCCACAAGGAGGTCTTGGGCTTATCAAAAATTATCAGGGCTGGGGGTGGAGATTAATTACACAGTACTTCACTAGAATGTCCAGAACTAAAAAAAAATAATTGTTTTATTATCAAAAAGTTGCAAGTATGTTGTGTCAAAATGACTGGCTACTTTTCAAAGAGATACTCATAACCTATGCCAAAAACTAATCTGTGGGGACAAATGCATGGAGTACTACTTACATGGCATATGTTAAGGGCTCCTGAGTGGCAGGCCACTCCCCTCATGCTAGGCTCATGAACGGCAGACCACTTACACCATAGGCACAGCCCTGGGCATGAGGCCATGTGTTGCAGTCCTGGTGCTCCACGGTCCACTCCTCCATTGGTTGCTGCAAGGACAGTTAGCAAGAAGTTGTATTGGTGGCTACCTATAATCTGCCTAGCTACCACCTGAGTATATATACATGGTAACTGCAATAAACTCAGACCTTCTTCCAGCTTGGTCCTGGAGGTCTTGATTAGCGACTCCACAGCCACTAACCTGTTCCGTGGACCTCCTTGCTGAATGAGAGAGAGCCCATGCAGCTTTCACCTGAACAGGGACCTGAGGTAAGCCTATAAGACAGGGCATGGCCCCTCACAGAGCGATGAAGAAGGGGAAATGGGGAACCTACCGAGTGCTACCAAAGACTCACAGCTGCAAGTGCTGCATACTCTCTTAGATACTAGAGGTTTAACCCTGAATAAGAGAGAAGCCAAGAAGTTCTGAGATGTATGACAGAGACTAACCCATGGATCAGTGCTGTAGATGGTTTTGATCCTACAATATGGGACAAGATAATGGCAAATGTGCAGCAAGCTGAAGTGAGACAGGGGTATACTTTACGACTACATTTTTTTCCTAATGTGACAGCCATTCAGCAAAGTTTAGGGGGCCCTGCAACAGACCCTTGTCATATAATGATGGCCCTGAGACTGTGGGAGACAGACAAGGGGAAAAAAGCTGGGGTGAAAATCTACTTCAAAGCAAGCAACCACAACAGGTGCAGGAGGGAGAGAGACAGGAAACAGTACTGCTAGCCTTCATGGTGCAGAAAAAGGGGACCACAAATGGTGCAGGTGCTCCTTCTACTGACCGAAAAAGACTATATCCTTCCCTGAGTCAATGGCAACTGCCTCCTTATGAGGCAGTGCCAAAGCCAGCAAGGGATTATGACAGCTTAGAAATGACCAGGCCCCTGGACAGGCCCAAGACATGGTCTCCCAGAAACCCATTCCAAGAGGCCAGAGATCCTTTTGAAGATCTAGGTAGGATAAGAAATGAAAAGTTGGGTAGGGAGTACAAGCCTTCCCAGTCAACATAGCCCCCACACCACAGCGCCCTGCCACTTGGTATCCACACTCATTGGGTACTCTGAAGGAGATGAAGAGGTGGTAAAAGAGGATGGGCCCTGGGAGTCTTTTGCACAGCAAATGCTCTGGTCACTCAGTCTTGAACTTAATTGCCCTCAAGACTGGAAAGACCTAGCCAGAGCAGCTCTTGAGCCTGTAACATTTTTGGAGTGGAAGGCATTCTTCTATGATAAATGTAAACAGCAGGGGGATTGTAACCATACCACAAATGTGAACCTCCTGGCTGAATGCTTGCAGGAAGAAGGAATCTATAGTTCCCCTGCAGTACAAGCCACAGGCCCACCAAATTATTTCAATCAGGTGCAGCTCTGTGCTCTCAGAGCCTGGAAGAAGTTACCAGCCAGGGGAGGTAGAGTTTCTATACAGTGTTAAGGAAGAAATCTACTGAGGACTTGCTGCAGTTTATTGACAGAGTAAACAAGGTGGGTGCCTGCCAGAAAGTCAAGCCCTGGACACCCACAGCCACAAACCAAAAAGATGAAGGAACTAACTCTGGAGGAGAAATCTCACAAAGGACTCAACAATGCAAACAGACCTCACATAAACTAACCTGGGGTTATATTAAAGGTCTTGTTGAACAAGCCACCAGACTGGCCCCTTTGCCTGGTGGCAACCTCATCTCTGGGCCTACGATGGTGGTCCTATTGTGTGCAGCACTCACTGCTAACAGTGAAGCCTCCCATCAGGTAAGTTGGGCCCTAATCACTAGACCACACCTTCTGGCTGTTGCTAATTGGGAAGGAATTTTACCTAAGCTCTTCTCTAATAATTCCAACCTTATTGATCCTGAGTTGTCCATCCAGGAGGTGACTGTACCCTGGAATACCACATTTTCATAACTACTCTGCCCATTTATTTCTTCGTAGTAGACAGTGAAACTTATAATCCAGACAGTCCCCTCTGTTTTGCTCTTGCTATTGAAACTATTGTAGATAACTATAATAAGTCATATGTTGGGCTGTCTCTCACTGACCTTAGAGTTATAGTTAATGCTACCTATAGTCATAGACTCCCCCATGGCAAATGCGAAAAAAAAAAAAACCCTTTTGGCAAACCCCCCCCCACCTCAGATAATGATAACATCCCATGGAATCAATCTGTCACAGCCATACCTTATCTCCGTGACAAGAGGAATTTCTCTGGGGAAGAACAACATCTATGCACCTGGGCAGGCACAGCCCCCTGGAATGTAACTGATGTTCCCAAAAACTGCATAGGCTACTGCAGTACATGCTACATGGGACAAGCCATTACCAACTATTATGCAGGAAATTAGTATGAAATGATAGATATCATGCCAATATTGCTGGCTGCTAGGTCCATCAAAAGAATAGGTCAATAGTGAGTCAAGACCCTAACCATGCCTATGCCTTTATGCCAAATTATGCCCATACCCACTATGCACAAGCTTGTGTTATGCCACCCTTTGCTATGCTAATAATCAATGATATTGGTGTCATAAATATCATTCATACAGTCAATACATCCTGCTAGCTCACAAATTGTCTAACCCCTACTATGAAAGCTAAATGTATATTTATCTTCAGAGCACCCCCAACAATCTGGCTTCCAGCGAACCTGTCCAGAGAGTGGAGAAGTCCATGGGACGTGGAGATGAAGAGTATTCTGAATGAGATCCTGCACTGGACAAGGTGTGCTATTAGCCTCATCATCACTGGGATTATTGCCCTGGTAGCTGCCATCACTGCCACAGCCACTGCTGCTACTTCATTCACTCAGAGTATCCAGACTGCTCAGACTGTAAACAATTTGTCTACTGCCATTGCAGAAGCCTTTGCCATTCAAAATGACTTAAGTAAACTGTCCTGAGTGGTTATTTTAGTCATTCATCAAGAACTAGACCTCCACCAGGAACAAATAGATACTCTGTTTATGTTGCAAAGACTCACTTGTGACCCTGAATTTCATAGTATTTGTGTCACCCAATATGCTGTACCTGAAAATGCAACCTTACACTTCTCCAATTTTTCTCAGTATATTGAGGGCACTTGGGATGATAATTATGTTATGACTATGCATAACCTTACCAAGGCAATTATCAAAATCAATGAGACAAAGGTGTCTATCTTAATGGCCTCCTCTTTCAGGGCTTAACTGAACACTGGGAAAAACCTGATAAACAAATTAATCGATCCTTATAATGCTATTACCCTGGCCCTACTATTTGTGATAGTAATAGTTTTTTCTTGTGTTATGAGACACTTATGCAATCATATGAAGGCCACTTAACAAAAAACTGCAATGCTGGCTGAAGTCCTTGCAGTACAGTCAGAGTGGGGAGATGTGGGGACAAGTGCATGGAGTACTGCTTACATGGCATTATTACACGTTAAGGGCACCTGAGTGGCAGGCCACTCCCCCTCATGCTAGGCACAGGAGCAGCAGGCTGCTTACCCCATAGGCACAGCCGTGGGCCTGAGGCCATTAGTTGCAGTCCCAGTGCTTGCTCCTTGGCCCACTTCTTGATTGGTTGCTGCAAGGACAGTTAGCAGAAATTGCATTGGTGGCTGCCTATAATCTGCTCAGCTGCTGCCTGAGTATATATACATGGTAACTATGCAATAAAATCAGATCTGCTTCCCGCTTGGTCTCCAGAGGTCTTGAATAGCAACTCCACAGCCACACTCTCCTCTACCCTGTTCTATGGACCTCCTCACTGGAAGAGAGAGAGCCCACACATGGAAACACAACTTGACCCAGTTATCACAGTCCTCAGCTTATACCCAAAGGATTTAAAATCACATACTGCAGTGATACAGGTACATCAATGTTAATAACAGCTCAATTAACAATAGTGTAGCTTTGGAATAAGCCTAGGTGCACTTAAACAGATGAATGGATAAAGAAAATGTGGTATGCAAAATTACATATAAGAGTTTGCAAGGGGAAAGGGGGAAAAAAACAAGGGAGAGAATTGAATAACAGCAGAAGGGGTAGAGAGGGAAGATGAGAGGGAAGGGGAGGGGGGATAGTAGGGGATAGGAAAGGTAGCAGAATACAACAGTCACTAATATGGCATTATGTAAAAATGGATGTGTAACTGATGTGATTCTGCAACTTGTATTTGGGGTAAAAATGGGAGTTCATAACCCACTTGAATCAAATGCATGAAAGATGATATGTCATGAGCTTTGTAATGTTTTGAACAACCAATAAAAAAATGTGGTATATACACACAATGGAATATTACTTAGCCATAAGAAGAATGAAATTATGGCATTTGCCAGTACATAGATGAAACTGGAGAATATCATGCTATGTGAAATAAGCCAATCCCAAAAAAACCAAAAGTCAAATTTTCTCTCTGATATATGGATGCTAGCCCATAATAAGGGAGGGTAGAGAAGGGAAGAATAGAAGTTTGTTGGGTTAGACAAAGGGGAATGAAGGGAAGGGAGGGTGATGGAAATAAGAAAGACAGTAGAGTGAATCAGACATAACTTTCCTATGCTTATATATGAATACACGATCAATATAACTTCACATCGTGTACAAC